TCTCTGCCCCCTGGGATGGGGCTCTGCCCAGCTGGGCACGACATGGCAGGGCTGTGGCACTCCCTACCCCCCATGTGTGCTGGCACCACAGCCACCGATGTGTCCCCAGGCTGGGCTGTCCTCTCTGCCACCCCTTCCTCCCTTATGGATTGGGATGGATCCTGCACACCATGTCCCCAAGTGCTTTGCTCTGCCCCGTGTCCCCCACCCCACGTCCCCCATGGATATGGAATGCCCACGCCATCCCAAATGGCTTTGGGGAGCCCCTGCCACCACGGTGGGCTGCTGTCCTGGCAGGGGGGGTGACAGTGGCCTTGGTGGGCTGCTGTCCTGGCAGGGGGGGTGACAGTGGCCTTGGTGGGCTGTTGTCCTGGCAGAGGGGGTGACAGTGGCTTTGGGAATGGGGGATTGTGGCCGGTGGCCTGACTGCACCGCCTTTTGTGTGTGTGTGTGTGTGAGACTGGATCCTCCCCTGGGGAGCCAGGAGCAGCCCAGCCTGAAAATCAGATTTTCAGCCGCTTCTGGGTTTGCAGGGAGCCTTTGTGTGTCCCACCACCACCACCACCACCACCACCACCACCTTCTCCCAGGGCTGCCCAGCCCTGAAAGCTGCAGACAAAGGGAGGCAGCGCTGGCACCGCTGCGGCAGCACCACAGCTCTGGGGGTGGCAGCGAGGAATGGGCAGCGAGGGGGTTTTCTCCCCCCATATTTTCATTGCTGAGTGAGAGAGCAGGTCACCCCACGCAGACACGTCCCTCCTGACCCACCACGGGCACCTCCTGCTCGCATCCAGGCAGGGAATCCATTTGCCAGATGCTCCATGGCATCTCTGCCGCCTGGTCCCCGAGATGCCTGGTGTGTCCCCCCCCATCCCCGCCGAGCCTGGCCCCACAGCAGGTGGTTTGCAAATGCTGCCTGGACACGCTGGTCCCCACGGGAGGCTGCAGGCAACGTGCAGAGACAATGAGCCGCGGGGAGCGACGGCGGCTCCGCAGCCCCACTGCAGAGTCATCACGCCCCGGCTCCTCCCAGGTCCCGCTGCCGTTGTGGCTTTTCCAGGAGGGCTGGATGGCAGCGCGGGATGGCGCCGGCCGCCCCTGCCCGCAGCCCTGCAGAGGTGGAGCAGCACCCGCCGCAGCGTGGCTGGCACCACCGGACACCCCGCTACGGCCTGCGGCATGGGCAGGAGCCAAGTGACCCCGTTTAACCACAGGGAAGGGGCAGAGGTGGCAGTGGCCGTGACAGCGGCAGGGGCTGTGGCAGTAGAATTGGCAGAGGCAGTGACAGCAGAGGCAGTGGCAGTGACAGTGGCAGAGGCAGTGGCAGCAGAATTGGCAGAGGCAGTGGCAGCGGAGACAGTGGCAGTGACAATGGCAGTGGCAATAGAATTGGCAGAGGCAGTGACAGTGGCAGAGGCAGTGGCGATAGAATTGGAAGAGGCAATGGCAGTGGCAGAGGTAGTGACAGTGGCAGAGACAGTGGCAGTGACAATGGCAGTGGCAATAGAATTGCCAGAGGCAGTGCCAGTGGCAGTGGCAGAGACAGTGGCAGTAGAATTGGCAGTGCCAATGGCAGTGGCAGTGACAGTGACAGTGACAGTGGCAGTGGCAGAGACAGTGGCGGTAGAATTGGCAGTGCCAGTGGCAGTGGCAATGGCAGTGACAGTGACAGTGGTAGTGGCAGTGACAGTGACAGTAGCAGAGGCAGTGACAGTGACAGAGGCAGTAACAGAGGCACTGACAGTGGCAGAGGCAGTGGCAGTGACAGCAGAGACAGTGC